GTGGCTTGGTTGAAAGATAATGTTATGTTATTTTAGTTCCGGTATATTCATCATTGACATCATCATTTTTGCATTCCTCAACTTCCCAGCCAGCCCGTTCTCATGTGATGAGCGTTCAATTTGTATGTTTTTTACCATACCACTAGCGTAGCCTGCTAACTTATCGACACCGGTTAAACTTAATCAACTTTTACATAAAACACGAGAACTATTCCAATAAAAGAAACATTTCCTAGTATTTCCCTTGCAACGCCATGGAGAACGTTGGTGTTTAATTTAAACTCTTAAGTATTTTTTTAAGTTGTGTAATTTAGGTCTGCGTAATTTAATGAAGCATAGTCCTAGGCAAATTATTCTTAAGTCAGACTCAAATATCAGGAGAAAGCGCCAAGTCATTACGACTATATAACACTTGGAAGGGATCAGGATAAGGACTTTGGATGGGACGGGGGAAAGGAATGGTGCCAAACCACTTGCATGGTCGGGGATTGAACGCCGACCTGTATGAAGCGAGACCGTCGCTCTACCGTCCAGTCCAAGTGGTTGGGAGTCTACGCACGGTAACAATGGATTTTTAATCTCCAGCCAACAAATAATAATCACTGCAACAATAGTTGATTTTTTAAGTGGGAACTTACAAGTTTCTGTTTGAGTAACCAGATCAGCGTGGCTGTGATGCAGTGTGCGCCTTCGAGCAAACAAGGCAAAGAGCTTCACAAACCGGGCAATCATTAGGACAGGCTGCCAACAAATAAGTCAGGCAACGGGAGAATAAGTCTGGTAATCACCAACAGGTAAATAGATACCGTAGGACTATAGGCTTACTTCACCTTGTCTATTTCCATTCGTATTGTCCTGATGTGTGCATACTTGCTGGAAGATTACAGTGATCTTGACTTCAACGGGAAACACCATATAAGAACTAGTATGTCATTTGCTTTTCTTATATTTATTGAGGGATAGTTTGTAAGTTTTTTAATATGCAGAATGGCCGTTTTGAAGATATTATCATGGGTAATTAAAATATTGCAGATAAAATAATTATTGATCGTTGTAGGTCTGTAATTATTAGGCGTTATCAGCTTATTATTCGACATCAGCTTTGAAGTTGGAAGTATATTCAGCTCGTTTATCGGGTATTTTTTCCAATATTGGGTTGTTTAGAGTTGTTCTGCTTCTGGTGTCCTTCATATTTGACGTATTTAGATTGCTTTCTTTGAAGCAAAAAAAAAAAAAAATTCTGCGCGATTCAGTTTTACGTGGGGAGGGGGGGAGATGACATTTACACGGGCTTAGCCTATCATTTATCACCCCTCCGGTCAAACAAATTGTGCATATCTAGCAAACATCTGTGCATATCTTAAAATGCAAAATCCTTGGTGAATTTACCCTTGCAGCCTACTCCTACAGTTGAGTAGGCTGTCTTGTACTAAAATTCACATTGAAAACCTTGCTTACAATAGTAAGACTATTGCTGGCTGAACAGCATAAGCATCTTAAACACAGGTGTAAAGGAAGTAAAGGAAGTTGTGGTGGTCAGCAAAAGCCTTATTTTTATCAGGCTATCATCAAGGAAACGTGGCTTCGCCAGTGTGAAAGTTTTGGAAAATTCTACACCCTCCACAGGTAAATTAGTCATTTTGTACAGCTGTTGAGTGACAGGGGAGGTGGGGGGAGGAGACGAGGGTGCTCCCGGTGGCACCGGTCTGGGATCTGGGTGTTCCTTGGTCCGTACACCGGGGGTCCGCGCCCCCTCCCCACCCCCGGTAATACACCAGTATCCATAACGTTTCATGTTTCTGCACCATCGGTCGTGAGGCCCCGTGTTTATACATATAAGGGTCGTGAATATTGCTTTTAGTCACGCAACAGTTGCCGGTGTCCCATGACCATGTTCGAGCGGTACTAAGGCTATAATTTTCTCGGTCTAAAGTAAGCCAGCATTTACCCAAACTACGTAGGCCTACTGTGTAGTGGATCCTCTCACTGTGATAATTCTTTCCCCGACCTTATGCAGAAAACTGCGCGCACCACTGCACATCCCGCATAACCCGTGCAGCATAGTCACCTTCACCCAAAAGCTACACCCACTAAAGCATACCCAGAGTAACCAGATTACACTACAGCTACCATACGACACCCCCCTCCTTAGATACCCCCCCCCTTCCTCCATCTCGTCCCTTCCCCCCGTCCCCCCTTTTCCATCTTGTCCCCCCCCCCCGTTCTTCATCTCGCCCCCCCCCCTTTCTCCATCTCGTCCCCTCCCCTGTCCTCCACCTCGTTCCCCCCCCCCCGTTCTCCATCTCGCCCCCCCCCCTTTCTCCATCTCGTCCCCTCCCCTGTCCTCCACCTCATTCCCCCCCCCCCCCCGTTCTCCATCTCGTCTCCCCCCCCCCCCCGCCGTTCTCCACCTCGTCCCTCCCTCCCGTCCTCCATCTCGTCTCCCTTCCCCCAGATCCCCCCCTCATTCTCCAAAATTCCCCCCCTCCCTCCCCCTTCACGAGACCAGACCATTATCTCTTCCCCTCAAGGTACGCTGACGAGTCGTGGTGGGAGGACTTTAGGAAGTGTGGCCATGTGCCTGGTGAATGGAGTTGAGGTGAAGGGCTTGGTGGGGGGGGGGGTGGTATTGATTTTGTCGCTTGTGGAGTGCGTCTCGAGTGTGAGAAGGTGGTAGGGGGGGGGGGGGTTAAGGGTGTTGGTATTGATGGTGTTGGGGATAATGGTGGTAGCGTTGATGATGGATGTAGTAGAAAGGTTTGTGGTTGGATGGGGTGGGGGGTAATGGCTGTGCATATAGAGTTGAAGAGGGAGGGGCAGGGGGGGGGGTTGCAATTATCGACTAATTGTAACCTTGTCGCCTAATGTTGAAAATGACGTGTCCCAAGGTTGAATTTAATTATAAATTATTTTTCTATTGTAATTAATATTCATTGTCTCGTTGGGAAGGGACGTTTTCTGTAAATAGTTTAACCTATGTGCTGGTGGTGTTAGCCTATGATGGGACGTTAATACTGATATGTTTTTCTCCCCTTCCCCCCCTATCTATTCCTTGCAAGCATCTATATTTCCTTCTCTTTACTCACCATAACTATCATCCCTACAGTAGGGTAGGCCATAAAAAGTGTTCTTGTCCATGGTACATACCTACCTACCTACCTTGATTATTTCGGGGCTTAGCGTCCTTCTCGACCAGTCTTCCTCGTTGCTGGACTTGTCAACCAGGCGGTTGGACGCGGCTGCTCGCACCCTGACGTATGAATCACAGCCTGGTTGATCAGGTATCCTTTGGAAGTCTTTATCAAGTTCTCTCTTTAAAACTGTGAGGGGTCGGCCAGTTATGCCCTTTGTGTAGGTGAAGCGTGTTGAACAGTCTCGGATCTCTGATGTTGATAGAATTCTCCGAGTACCTATTGCACCTTTCCTCTTCAATGGGGGTATTCTGCACGTCCTGCCATGCCTCCTGGTCTCATGTGGTGTTATTTTTGTGTTCAGTTTTGGGACGAGCCCCTCTACTATTTTTCACGTATAAATTAGTATGTATCTCTCCCGCCTGCGCTCAAGAGAATACAAATTTAGGCTCTTTAGTCGGTCCCAATAGTTTAGATGTTTTACTGAGTGGATTCTAGCAGTAAAGGATCTCTGCACGCCCTCCAGGTCAGCAATTTCTCCAGCTTTGAAAGAGCCTGCCATTATGCAACAGTATTCCACTCTAGAGAGCACCAGCGTCTTGAAAAGTATCATCGGTATAGCATCTCTAGTATGAAAGGTTCTTGTTATCCAACCTGCCATTTTTCTTGTAGGTGTGACGGGAGCTTTATTGTGTTCTTTAAAGGTAAAGTCTTCCGACATGAGTACACCCAGATCCTCTACATTGTCTTTTCGTTCTATGTTATGATTTGACTTGAGTTTTGTGCGTGGTTTCCGTTTTTGTTTTCATTTTTTCCGTAGCGCATGAGCTGCAACTTCGTTAAATATCATATTATTTTCTGTAGCCCATAGAAAGACCTGATGATACAGTACTATCGAATGTGTTCTTGTCTATGTCCGATATGAGGAGAAAAAGTACTGGAGCAAGCACAGTACCCTGAGGGACTGAGCTTTTCACGGTTGATGGACTGGATATTATTTTGTTAACTATTACATATTGGGTTCTGTTAGTCAGGAAATTGTAGATCCATCTGCCTATTTTTCCGGTAATTCCCTTTGAACGCATTTTGTGTGCAATAACACCATGGTCACATTTGTCGAAAGCTTTTGGGAAATTTATGTAAATTATATCAGCGTTTTGTTTGTCTTCCATGACATTTTATGTCATAGTGGTCCAGCAACTGTGATAGGCAAGAGCGCCCTGTTCTGAAACCATGTTGTCCAGAGTTATGGAGATGCTGTGATTCCATGTATTTTGTGATCTTACTTCTTAGCACTCTTTCAAAGATTTTTATGGTGTTAGTGCTATCGATCTGTAATTTTTTGCCTCTACCTTATTTTCTCCTTTATGGAGTGGTGTGATCTTTGCTGTTTTTATTATATCAGGGATAACGCCAGTACCTAGAATTTGTCTCCAAAGGATGCGAAGTGCCTGCGATAGTGTTTTTTTCACAGTTCTTGATGAATATGGAGTTCCAAGAATCAGAGCCTGGTGCAGAGTGCAAAGGCATCCTGTCTATAGCTTCTTCAAAATCCAGCGGGGATAGGGTGACATCTAATATATGATTGAATTTTTGTATCGTAAGCCTGAAAAATTCATCAATACTGAATCATATTGATTCCTTAGTACAGCATTTCGCTCATTTCTTTGTTTTCATCAGTGAACGTTCCATGTCCCTTTCGCAGGGGCCCGATACTAGATGTATTTTTTATCTTGATTTTGCACAGGAGAAAAAAATCATACCCTCCAGTGTGCACCCACGACCTAGGTCCATGCATATAAGGTGCCTGGTTTTAGGTCAGTAACTCATTACTGGATGAAAGAGATTTTGTGCAATGTTTTTCTTAAGGTCGCATGTTATCTCGTCGTTTTAGTATTGCGTTTGTGTTCCTCGGGAGTGTAACTACGGCAATCTGGATCCTTCTCAATTTCAGCAGATATGCTAATGCAACGCTGCTTTTGCTTTTTGATGTCCTGCCTTAATAAAACTTGTAGGTTGCGTTCAGGCTAGGGCAGAAGATCCACGGGGTGCCATGAGACTAGGGGCAGAAGATCCACGGGGTGCCATGAGACTAGGGGCAGAAGATCCACGGGGTGCCATGAGACTAGGGGCAGAAGATCCACGGGGTGCCATGAGACTAGGGGCAGAAGATCCACGGGGTGCCATGAGACTAGGGGCAGAAGATCCACGGGGTGCCATGAGACTAGGGGCAGAAGATCCACGGGGTGCCATGAGACTAGGGGCAGAAGATCCACGGGGTGCCATGAGACTATAAACACAATATATGCTTCATTACCATACATGCCCACAATGAAAGATCTTTAGTGGAGGAAAGGAAGTGCTTTTTAAGTCAGACGTAGTTAGCTTACTTAAGGTTTAATTCTTATTTACACGTTTAGTTCTGGCGGAGTAGACTATCAAGGATCCATGTAGTTATTGCGCTGTTCACGGTCTACTTTGCACTTCCAACTATGTTCAAGTTACCTGACCAGTTACAGATATTTGCCCTCCTCCACCCTTCTGTAATTTGCTCTCCTGTCTAATATTATTGTTTGGCAGCTGTTGCTGGGAACACCTGTTTGGCAGCCGTTACTGGTAACAACTGTTTCTGGCAGCTGTTGCTGGTAACAGGTGTTGCTGGTAACGGCTGTTTAGTAACCCCCGGCTAATCTGTCAGCCAAGTAAAAGATTTGAGGTTACTACAGCACGAGTAACGGATGGAATCATCGGCAGTCAAACTGATTAATACCGGAAGGAGATTCTCCCCCTTTTCCCCTTTGTTTACGACCCTTTCTACTGATCATGTGCAGCTGAGCTACACAACAGAGTAGTAGTAATAATTTTTATTTAAACAGTTTGTAGTGATTAATAGATTGTTACAGATTGTCCATTTAATCCAGTCACTCATCCGCAGATTGAACCACTTAGACAGCATGCTAAATAATAATTTTTTTTTATTGAACAAAGTTTGAGCTTTTTTAAGACTTGTATTATGTAGTTGTACCAAAATTTTAGTAACTTTTTGGGTTGGGCCTTTAGGGGGGGTTAAATAGCTGATCCTATGAAGGCTAATGTCGTTCATTTTAAAAATTTGTTAGGGTTGAATATATAAAAGCTTGTCACTGAATAACCACAACCTTTCCGATGCTCGAATTTGTGCCGAAATAGTTATCACAAAACACTTGACTAATTACAGCTAATTCGACGTTTGGTTAATCCAGCTGTTTGGCCACCTTGGTGAGCGGCAGTTAAGTCTAGTTAGCTGCTACTAGATAGCTAGTAGCGGCTATCTAGTAGCTGTTACTAAATAGCTGCTTCAGAACACTGAAGGTTGCTACTAGCTATCTAGCTGCTACTAGATATCTAGTAGCAGCAGCTGTTTGGTCACTGTTAGAAGCAACTTGTTCTCCCTACTCCCTTGGTTATATTAGCTATTTAACCCCCCCCCCCCCACAGGTGTTACTGCAGGCAGAGCAACACGGGTCAAACCCGTTTTCTGTTGCCAATACGATTTGTTTTTTACACTGTTGCTCCCTAGGAAGGTGAACACGGAGGGAAATTGGTCCACGGAGGTAGACGTAAGTGAAGGGAAGATGTTTCAGGCCAGCAAGACGGAGAAGGCCAACGTGGAATACGGTTCATGACGTGCGGGGAATTGCAACGAAGAAGTTTGGCAAGTTGGGTTCTCCGAAGATGAAGATAGGAAAATTTTGTCTGCAGTGAAAGGAAATGGGGGGACTTACGTGTTGTGGTGAGAAGTAGCCTAGTAGTAGCAGAAGTGTTACAGATACGAGCTAAAGGTATGCCAATAGCGGCGACAGCAGGGGAAAGAGGGGGGGCAGAGGAAGAGCAGCAAGAGTAGAAGCAGCAACTATCGGAGTGCTGGTGAGTGGGCTGGTGGGTGGGTGGGTGGTGGTGGGTTGGCGACCTCGGGCCGACGCACGAGCGCCCAGCTCATCCCCCAGCCCCACCCCACTAGCCCACCAGACCCCCCTCCTACCCTTTCTCCCCAACCCCGAAGCCCAAGAGACCCTTCATCCCCCCCCCCCGGCCCACGCTAGTGCTTGCCACCCCACATTTATAGCACATGCTAGTAATAACTGCCTGTAATATCGTGATGTCTCGCTAGTAGAATAAGAATACTCGTAATACTCGAGACGTGTTGCCTTTGTGTTGAGGAAGGCCGCGATGGAATACGTGATGGTGCTACTGACCAGAGGAGAAAGGGGAGATTAAGTGGATATAATTATGGAAACTGGTAGCCAAGCTCTTATGACTGGCGGTAAATGCCAGTCTTGTTAATTTCTTCAAATGGTGCTTTAAGTCTTAGAACCGACTCACAACTTCTGCGATTTCTTAATTAGTCACTTGTGATATTTGACGCGCTTATCCTATATTTTCCTATGGCAAATACTTGAAAGTTAATTTGCACTTCCTGAATGTGTCATCAGAGCTGAACGAATCTTTACTAGCAAATGTACGAAATATTGAGAGAAGGAACGTAGGAGTCTTCAAAGTGGAACTACAGATACCTGCAGGCTGTCCAAGATCAGCTGGGTTGTATCTACGTGGGCCATGAACCACATGCAGCAATAGTTTGGGTGATCAGATGCGAGCAGAACACATCTTGATACAGGCTATAAAGAAAACACAGTTAAGGTCTCCAGTTATATCCTAATGGGACACTCCCGGGGTAATAATGATATCGTATCAGCCAGACTTTAATGTACATAAGGCTTTAAAGTCGAAAACTCTCTTAAAAAAAAAAAGTCAGAACTGGTCACCACCTAGGAGTCTTTGTGGCATATAGAGCAGCGAGACCCATTAGTAAAAGAGCCCCCGGAAATAATTGCGACAGCGCACGAAATGTGACGTAGTGTAGCCGGGGTTGGAGGAATGGTCCGAGTCGTAGCCAGCCAGATAGAACACTGAAGGTTGCAACAGTCTGTCACGCTGGCGAGTGGCGGGGACACGCATGCCAGACCTTGTGGGGGGTGTCCATAGTCATTCTTATGCACTCTGATCGGTCGTTCATGTCTTCCCATCTGATGCACAACAGGAGGACAGTCGGAGGAGTAGATGAATGGTACAACCTATCACTGGACTGTTTTTGCTTATACTTTCGTGGTGTTGGTAGGTCTGGTGCTTCCGTAATCATCCAGTGTCTATACAGTACTTGCTTCCGTACTCGCGCGGTGTTGATACTTCCGTATTTTCCTGGAGTTGGTACTTCCGTACATGTTTGTGCACGGGTAGTATGTCCGTTCGTCTTACGTGCAGTTTGCATGCATGTTTGTGTACGTATAGTATCTCTGTATGTGTGTGTGTACATGCATAATATAAACACAGAATTAACACGAATAAATACGTTTTCTAAGTTAAAACTATTGCCTGTGAAATTTTGTCCATGTAGTCACGAGTCTTTGCCTTCTCGGGCTTCGCTCATCGATCTTTGCGAGTTTAGTCAGTCCAGGGGACCGTGTTTAGGTGTGTGGGTGGAGGGAGAGCGAGTGAGTCGCCACGAGCCTAATTGCCCTCCCGCTCTCACCTGTGCACCTGAGGGCTCCGTGCAGGTGTGCCAAGGGTAAGTTGCGTCAGGTGTCTAGGGCGTTATGCTGGTAGGTAACTCAGGTGGGTTGTGATAAATGGAGGCAGGTGGGGGTGTGTTAGTGAGGAGACGTGGATACGTTGATGTAGATTATACAGGCGTGAGGTTCTTTGGAGAAATGTGTATACGTGCTAATACATAATCTTGTATATACATATATGTATGGATGCATAAAGGAACTTTTTCATATCAGTAATTTACAAAGTAACTCACAAGAGGTGGCGATTGAAGTACAATATATAGATACAGTAACCTATAAAAATTGATCTGAAAATATATATTGTATACAACTCAAAATATTGGATTCAAACTAACAAAGATTTGATGTAGAAAAATGAAACTCTTCCTAGAAAAGGTTTTAACTCTGCTACAGGAGCAAACGATTTTTGACTCATGTTAACGGACCGAGAGCTTTTCCCTTCCCATAACTCATGGTAAGCTTTACCTTGCCAGTTTCCCTGGAACGTGACCACCAATCGGTTGACAACCAGGTACCCAGTTACTGCTGGGTGAACAGGGGCAAATAATTAAGGAATTGGCGCTCAGGCAATCTTCCCTGGCCAGGACTCAAACCCAGACAAGGGTCACCCTTAACCATTCTCAATCGTGTATCAATCCTTGAGACGTTAATGAACTTGCTTCTAGGATTTACTTAACTTATCTGCAACCATATTTTCCAACCTCTGTTTTTCCATTAGCATTTATCCTCTAAATATATATACGGTACTTGGATAATTTTAATCCGTTGTGTAGTTGTATTCAAAGTTCATATTACGAGTACTCTATGTACATCTTTAATAGTCTTAGTCACCACTCGTGACACCTGCGTTATACTGTACACAAAACTTTCTTATCGCCAGTCATAAAGTTTCTCATGTGATCACTACTGAGACAGTGTGATCACTATTGTGTTGGATAATGTCTATAATATTTTAGCATTTATTTGTTGTGTATCTAGATATATATATATATATGAACCCTAGTAGACCTACCCTATATTTTATTACATATATATTTTGTGCTAATATGAAGCCCATGTTAAATGTATAATTAGATTTTCTTTTAATGTATTTTAATATAGTAGTCTGAATTTTTTACCCACCTCTATCTTAATGTCAGTCAAATACGTAAGGCAGTGCACGACAAACATAAGTGACCTCAATACAACTCATTCCTGTATTATCATTTGTTTATGGCGACAAAATACAACTTAGTCTCTTGTTTACATAGTAGTTTTTTGTGACACTGTGCATCATAGTACAAAGATTGCCGTTCTAAGCAATTAGATAATAGAACTTTGTACTATTCACTTTATATAGAGTCGGAAAAATGAAGCTAAAAAAACAAATTTAAATATTCCTAGGCCTAATATAA